GGACGCGCCAATGAGTGCTATTGGCGAGTAGAGTTAACCGATCTCAAAAAGAAAGAACAAAACGCCGTACACGTATCAGCACGGGATGCGCCAATGAGTGGAAGCACCCGTGCTGTTGGCGAGTAGAGTTAACCGAATTCAACGCAGCGGTACAAAAATACCACAAATCACGCATCAGTACGGGACGCGCCAATGAGTGGAAGTACCCGTGCTGCATATGTGATGTCAGCCTCAGCAAGGGACGCGCCAATGAGTGCTGTTGGCGAGTAGAGTTAACCGATCTCAAAAAGAAAGAACAAAACGCCGTACACGTATCAGCACGGGACGCGCCAATGAGTGGAAGCACCCGTGCTGTTGGCGAGTAGAGTTAACCGAATTCAACGCAGCGGTACAAAAATACCACAAATCACGCATCAGTACGGGACGCGCCAATGAGTGGAAGCACCCGTGCTGCATATGTGATGTCAGCCTCAGCACGGGACGCGCCAATGAGTGCTGTTGGCGAGTAGAGTTAACCGATCTCAAAAAGAAAGAACAAAACGCCGTACACGTATCAGCACGGGACGCGCCAATGAGTGGAAGCACCCGTGCTGTTGGCGAGTAGAGTTAACCGAATTCAACGCAGCGGTACAAAAATACCACAAATCACGCATCAGTACGGGACGCGCCAATGAGTGGAAGCACCCGTGCTGCATATGTGATGTCAGCCTCAGCACGGGACGCGCCAACGAGTGGAAGCACTCGTGCTGTTGGCGAGTAGAGTTAACCATGTATCAGCCGGCAAAACATTGACACGGTGACTCTAGGGTTGCCCGGATCCCTCTATGAGCTTACTACGTTGAGTGTGCGCTACGCAGTGGTTGGTGTTTAGGACGGAAGGGGCGGTCGGCTACTAATCTCGCCGCTCTTGGGAAACATTTTCGCGACCTGCCCCATTTCAAAATGTTTGAGAATATTTTGTCAAACGAGCGACTTTTGCCCCATTTCAAAATGTTTGAGAATATTTTGCCGAAGATTTTCTCCCATAAACAGTGAAACAAAATCTTTGTCCGCAAATGTTTGAAAATATAAACATTTTCGCAAAGATTTGGCGACCATAAACATGGGTCTTATAGAGATGGATTCGTTGTGTCACATTAAGAAAACAAAAAAACGTTGAGCGGGATACTGTAGTAAATAGAACACCGCCTTCTTTGTTGTTGCAGGCAGGTTTGCTTCCACAACCCGGGAGCCCAACCCACTCTTGTATTTCGGCCTACAAGACTCCAATCGACGCAAGCACCGGTAGGAGAGTGCGTGGGAGATGCCGTGGCAGCACAACTCCACTCTCCTACGACATTTATGTACATGATGTTGTAGCACCATGTGGAAGATCTGCGAGGGGTCCTTCTGCGCGGTAACGACAGCATGGCGAGAGCTCTACGTGTACCTGTCGCCGACACATGTGGCAGCCGCACGACACGCGAACGGATGTTTGCATCGCATTGTACTATGGTTCGCCGTGGCAGGAAGTATCCCATCAAGTTAGGTCGTTGCCGTAGTACGCGAACGTCGTTCGGCGTCTAGTCCATACTGCTGTAGCAAAAACACCGCAGTAATCGAGCTATGCATGCAATTTTTTGCTCTGGTTCACATTTTCCTCCACACCCTGAGAATCCGACTGCTGTATCTCGACCTACAAGACTCCAATCAACAAACTAGCCCTGGCAGAAGTGCGTGGAAGATGCTGTGACAGCACCACTAAGTCGACACTCGTACGACTTCTATGTACAGTCGGCATCTGGTCCATACTGCTGTAGAAATACAAAAATCGAGCCATCTTTCTTTTTTTCTCTTTTCTGAAGCTTTAGCTTCAGTCTCATATTCCAATTGTTGTTGTTGTTGTTGTTGTTGTCTTCACATTAAACCGTATGCCAATTGCTAAATGCCAAAATCTAGCAAAGACTCTGAGCCCGTGGTCACGAGAGTGCTAGAGCCATCTGAGGATGTAAAGAACACGCACACACACGTAAAAGAACAAGGTATACAAGAGCCCGAAGGGGTACACCTAAAATCCCTGGAGCACCGCATATGCGTGCCTAAAAAAAACTGAACTGCACGTCCGTCCCACCGTTCGACTACAGTAGCATCACCCCCTGCCTGTCACACTCTGTACCAAAACGACATTGCCGACTACAGCATACTGCTGTCTGAAGTGCTGTCTGTACAAAAACACCATGGTAGGCATGGAACAAGAAGCTGGCGGGGCACAAAGCTGCTGTCTGAAGTGCTGTCAGAATGTGTCTGCGGACGTACAGTGAAAAAGAACAACAAACCAGGCCATGATAAATAGTAATTGACAATCACCCGAATCTCTCCCGATCGTCTGTGTTTAGGCACTGCAGTGAAAATATCGACACTAGCTAAGAATCGTTCCACATTGAAGGGGTCTTCCACGATCAGGCACAAAACCAAGGCACCCGGGTTAGCCACGCCATCTCTGACGGTTCTCTCTACAAAACCAGTGACGACGTCATCACACAAAACCAACGCCGAAAGTCAGAAAAAAAAACGAAAAAAATGACAACACAGACAGACAGAATAGAAATGTTTCTCCGTGCCCCACGGGTCGATGTCGTCCGCATGCTCCGGTGCCGCTGCTCCATCCGGCGCCGCTGTAGTCAGCCCGAGCAGAACGCCACTCGATCTGCATCCGTGGGTGGGTGGGACTTTCAGTCGCATACCCCACACCTTGCCCGACCCGGTCTCAAACGCTGATCTCGAGCTACAGTCCTAATGTCGTGGCGCCCCAAGTATGGTTCGGTAGGCAATCGCAAACCATGACCCCTCTCCGAGTTTCAGCAGCTTCCACTTCCTGTGGCCGACACGACTCGGCCTTGACTGTTCCTTGACTGTTTCGCCATGGAAACGGCCGGTTGAACAGCGAAAGAGGGTCCTGCGTGCTGCGCGCCACAATTTGTTTTTTTTTCTTCCTGAGTGACCATGTCGCTGTTGCTGAATTGCTCCAGACAAGGGGTAAGGCTATCGTGTCTGTCGCTTTGGGGTGCACGCGTCGCGTAGTAGGCGATGCGCGTCGCTAACTTTGCGCCTGTTGTGTCGTTATACATGAAAAGCAACAGCAGCACAACAGTTGAGACAGACAACAACAGGCCTTTTTTCTCTCTTGCTGCATATGCATGGGTGGTATGCATCGTAATAGTCTAAGCAGCATACGCATGGGTTGTTGTTGTTGTTGTTGTTGTTGTTGTTTTTCTTCACATTAAACTCGTGTCAGTTGCTAATCCCAAAATCTAGCAAAGACTCGGCCCGTGGTCACAAAAATGCTAAAGCCATCAGAAGATCTAAAGAACACGCACACTATTAGCAAGAAAATGGTACACAAGCCCGAGGAGGTACACCTACAATCCCTGCAGGACGTTTGCGTGCTCACAACTGACCTACATGCCCACACACTACAATTCGACTACAGCAGGCGGCATCACCCCCCTTGTCCCGCACTTCACCAAAATGAATGTTTGTCGACTACAGCGTACTGCTGTCTGAAGTGCTGTCTGTACAAAATAACACCATGGTGTATGGTGCACAACAACAAGCTCGGGGCATGCAGCTGCTGTCTGAAGTGCTGTCACAATGGTCCCGTGGACATACAATGAAGAAGAACAACCAACCAAAGCCATCATTGCAATTGACAATCGCCCGAATCTATCCAGATCATCTGTGTTAGACACAGCAGTGTAAACATCGGCACTGACTAGGAATCGTTCCACATTGAAGGGGTCTTCCACGACGCAGGTACACAATTAAGGCACCCGGGTTATCCGCGCCATCTCTGCCGCGTCTCTCTACAAAACCAGTGACGTCATTACACACACCTAACACCTATATTCAGGAAAAAAAACGGAAAATAATTGACAACACAAGAGATGTTTGTCCGTACGACACGGTTCGATGCCGTCCGCACGCTCCGGTTCCGCTGCTGCTCCGGCTCCGCTGCTCCGGTGCCGCTTCTCCAGTGTCGCGGTGGCCAGTCCTAGCACGACCAAATTCGACCCGCTCCGCTTCGTACACGCTCTCGTTGCTGTCCTTCCCAGTCGGTTCCTCGCTTTCTCCCTCGTTGCACTTAGGGTTCTTGGTCTGAAAATTCTCGCGCCGAAGGGTCAACCAGCCCAGTCAGCTCGTCACCACCTGTCCCCTCCTCATTTGATGGCAAAACCAGGTTACTGAGACAGTACAGCTCCCTCTAGCAAACATAGGGCCGTGTGCATAGTGCCCGTCCACCTTTCTGATGGCGTCTGCCTCCGCGCACAAAGATGAGATGGGCATTGCTGCCTGCACCGACGGCCTCGAGGCCCGCGCATCTGCACCTTTGTACCTGACGCACCAGTGCCGACCCAACTCCACCACTACGCACGCCTTGCGGCGGGTGCGCCGTAGCAAGAAGGTATCGGTCCCTTGAGGGTGAGTCTAGCCCTGCTCGCTAGAAAGACCCCCCCCCTCGCTTTGGGTCATGCCTAAGCAAAACCTTGCCGAGGCAGCGAGGGGAAGAAGGGAGAGTGGCATACATCGAATAAGGGTTAGGGTTAGGGTTAGGGTTTTCAAAAACTCAAAAAACCAAAAAGCCAAAAACTCCAAGCGAACCGGTGCCTAGGACCGTTCTAGAACCAGTATAGTAAGCGCCACGTGTACACACAAAAAAAAGTTCTCAGCACACTCCGCGGGCAGCTCCTCTCTGTCGTGCTTCATTTGGTACTGCTGCCATGTCGACACGCAAGACACCGAAGATGCGTGGTAGAGCGTCGAAGATTTCGGGTGATTCCGTTGGTGTGTACGACCCACGCGCGGTTGCTCCGCGGCGAAGTACGAGGCACAACAAGAACAGCAGCGGTGACCACGACAGCTCTCAGGAAGCGGGTAAACCCGGTGAGCACCGGGCCTCCAGCCGCCGCACTTTGCACGGCGGGGCTGAGACACAGGAGGAGGTGGAAGCGACCCGGGGACTGATGCAGCTGCAGGGTGACGCTAGTGTCGGTACGAAGCAGCCAGAATCACAGCAGGAGTCCGGACGAAAGAGGAGAGGATGTTCGCCCCGACCAGGACACTGGAGTCCCCAAAGCAAGGCTCCGCGCACGCCCGGGGGAATACAGAACGCGCTCATGGAAGACGGAGGTACAGCGACTGCGGCGACCGGGGACACGAGTACACTGACCGGTACGGCGGGATCGTCTGTATGTACGCCTGAGCCAGGGCGTGAGAAGACGAGTTCTGCCCGTACGAACCACCTGGCAGGACAGCTACCGCAGGTGAGGAAACCCGCAACTTGCGAGACTCCCCGCCGATGCCCGTAAAATACTTTAAATATCTACTGCTGTGAGCAAACTCCGGCGTGCCAGCGTGCACGAAGAAACGACACAACAACGACCGTGTTGAGGGAGAGGCATCTCGGCATCCCGACGTACAACACCAGCTATCATGCATGTTAGATCTGCACCTGTACAATTTAAGCATATTGGGTTTGGACATGCGATGTACGTGAAATCGACGGAATATTTTCGGCATTTTGTACCCGCTCTTCCCCAATACGCCTTTTTTTTTGCGTTTGCGTGTGATGGGTTAGGCTTAAAGTAGTCATTATGTGTAGTGTATGCTACAATACCAGTACTTACTCAAGTACGCAGTCGGAGTGTGTTGACCAGGTCCTTTCCCTGCGTACAAGCCTACTGCTGCAATTGAAGCAGTAGGCGGTTCCGACGGCGGTAGGCCGGCGACGACAGCATCGCCCCCCCCCCGCCCCCCGCTTCCCCCTGCCGTTGCCATCGGGTTAGGGTTTCCGTCGCTTGCCGACGACGGTGTAAAAGAAGCCGTTCGCCTCATGAGCTCGTCAACCAAGTTATTACCGCATTTGTCCTTAGCCTCTGTTGTGCTCTATTGCGGTAACCATAATGGTGGTCGAGCAAATAATGTTGTGCGGGTCATTTAACCTTCACTCCGCGCTAAGGAAATGGTCGCACCATGTTGTGTTGTATTGGTCAATCACCCTCGACGCAACCACAGCTCATATATTTATAAAATTGAAAGGACCATAAGATTTAGTGAGTCCTTCCCAGCTGCCACCCGTTGCAAGGAAATATGGACAAAATGCCGAACACGCACCCTCCACGCGACTCGCCGAATACCACACTAGGGTTGGCGCTTGGTTAGGGTTGAACCTGGTCCAGTGAGAACCCGGCGTGCTCCGCCCCGGCCTAGTGGGATGCGAGGTCAATGGGTTAGGGTTACGGCATGCACGACCATGGTAACTCCCCCCACTCCCGATTGGTCATCGGTTATCGGTCCAGTGGGAACAATGGTCAGTCCTATCGAGGACGGACCGTCAACGGTCCAACCGCAAAGGCATGCAAACCACAAGAGTATGCCCCCCCTCCCACCCCCACATAGGACGGTAGACGACGAAGACGACAAGTTCAAATGTGATTGCGGCTTAGAAGGCGAAGACCGTGTTCATGTAGTCGCGGAAATGTCCGTGGTACGAAGAGGAGAGGGCAGTGTACATGACTGAGCTGGGAAAAATACAGGGGGCGTACAGGAAGATGTTCGAGGCATGGAATAGAGAGGAGAGGACGGTAGATGTACTGGGGAGAAGTAAGTGGTTTGAAAAGGCGGGAAGGGATATCGTTGGGATAGACAGACAAGAGAAGACATTTTTGAGCCACCTTTGGCAAGGTGCGAAGGAACGATTGGCCATCAGTGATCGGTCCTGTGGGAACAATGCTCCGTGCTCTCGAGGACGCGTGGTCAATGGTCTAACCGCTAAGACATGCAAAACATAAGAGTACGCCCCCCCCCCCCTCCCCCTCCTTGTCCTTGATGTTACCATGTGTACCGGTTTGTGCCTGCATTCATTGCTTATCTACTCAGTATCTAACCCGATCGTCCTATCCCCAGGTATCAACCCCGGGAATGTCTGTACACACGCCCTTGTTTGGAATCGTGGCAAATTGAGAACTTTGTGAAACGCCTTTGCTGAGCGTGAGGCTCCCCAGCTTAGGGTTAGTATTGAAGAGGGCTGCAGTGTTGACGTCACCTCATTGGCCTCCTTTTTCCTTCTGGTATCTGTGTATGTCTTCTCGTTGTCCACGTGTTTGTCTGCTGAAGGGTAACATGCTTCGACCCCCGACAATTCCCGGTCGCCGCGTCAACGAGCATCCGTCTGGATCGGGAGATCAGGAGGCAGGGGGTGGGGGGTCGTCAGCGACCGATGCAGGGAGCAGCAAGAGGAAGGGCAAGGGGGCGCCTAAGGGAGGGAGTGCGAAGGGAAAGGGAAGCTCCAGGGGAGGGAAATCGAAGGCGAAGGGGAAGGGGAAGGCCAAGGAGATAACGAGTTCAGGATCCGCCACCAAACCACCAAGCCCCAGTTGCCATGCAAAGGCGGGCGCCACCGTAGCAGCTTGGGAAGCGGTGAGTTACCGCGCCAGTTGGCGTGATCATGACCCCCGATTTACACTACTTTATCCACATCCTGTCTAACGCCCGCTCGTAGCAGTAGCCGCCCCGGATACTTTCTCAGCTCCGCCTCACCCACTTGTTATTATCGCTCACAGGCGCACGGCGGGAGAGACAAATGGAACTGGCATGATGAAGAGAAGTATGAGCTCCTTCGGGCGTTTGCTTCGTGCGAGCAACGTGGAATGCACCTCGGCCCGGAAGTGAGTTGGACTCGGAAGGGTAGTTATCCCTAAGACCTTGTGTGTGTGTCGGGTGGACCTCGACTGTGCGGGCACACTGCTTTTGCGTGTAGCGCGAACGGGGGGTAAGGTTAGGGCACCGCAATACGGTAATGTTCAATTTTTCCTCGTACTTGTTGCGGTCGAACGATAAATACGATATCGCGGTGGTTGACAGGACCATCTACATTCCCCCGTTGTATGGTTTTGTTTTGTCATATTGAGATTTTGTGGGACCCGCAAACACCAGACCTTCCCGTGGTCTTTGTTTCACAAGCAAGCAAGCTGTTTACCCCCCCCCCCCCTCCTCGGTGACCGCCCCCCCCGGTGATTGCCATCGGGATTGGGTTTTCGTGTACTGGCGGCGATATTGTAAAACAAGCCGATCCATTCTTGAGGTCGTCGACCAGGATACCGCTTTGTTTTGTTTTTTGTGCGGTAACATGAATGGTTGTAGAGTAGATTTGTTGTGCGGCCTCGAGTACCCTCACTCCGCGCAATGGGGATAATTGCACCACGTTGTGTTCATTTGGCCAAGCACTCTCGAGGCAGTTACACAGTGCTAACAACTGTCATCGAAGTGAAGGCACCGGATAAAAAAAAAAAACTGTCATCCATACGTAAGGAAGTAGGCACAAGATGCCAAACACCCTTGGCAGGATGCAGCGCACCCTTCATGTGACTCGGCGAATACCTGACGGCGCTTCGCACTCAGTGATGTGAGGGCCTGATCCGGAGACTACCCGGCGTGCTCAGGCGTGGCTTTGTAGGGATGCGAGGTCAATGGTCTAACGACTACGGCATGCACGACTATGAGTACACCCGCCCCCTCCCGGCCAAATCTGCGCGCCTTTTTATGCGCGCAAAATCTTGTAGTGATGTTTTTAAGACCAACCATAGACCCAGGTTCGTACGCACTGCAGACTTTTCGTGTTGATAGTTAAACCCCTAGCCCTTGAGAGGGCCTTAGCGGCCGATTAATATGTGTGTGTTCTTAGGACGGTTTGAGTTGGGCTTTCTTCGTTTACCGAGGTTCAAGTGGCAGCAGAGCTAGGGTTACATGAGTCGCCGCTTCACCCCGTGTAGACAGCAGAATAAGCACGCGGGATCATGTCTCAGTCTTTACAAACGACGACGCCCCCCCCCCCCCTACTCTCTGCTCTCTTTGCTAATGAGCAGAACCTGGACCTGAAGAAAAACAACGAGAGAGCTTTCGAATTGTGGAAGAAGTTCATCCTCCCGGACGTGGTCGCGAGGCTCAACAACAATGACAAGTACCTTTTGCCCCCAGAGTACACCGAGAGGAAGTTCATGCACGCCGGAAACTACTGCCACATCAAAAATTGGGTCTTCGGGCAAAAAAGAGAGTACGGGAAAGAGGTGGCGGCGAGGAACACCGCTAACAAGAAGTCCGGGGCTGCGGCGGACGAGCGGGAGGACAAAGACCCGACGCCGCAGCAAGTGGCTCGTGACGACGCATTCGCGACGAGCGCAACCTCCACGATGGGGATAAACAACTACGAATCACCCGTTACGCCCGAGGGCGATCCTGGTGAAGAGGATCGTTTGCAGGGTGGCGGCAGCTCGGGGCAACGGCGCCAGGCTTCGGGCGCAGACCGGGCTACCGGGCAGCGCAGGGGCAACGGGTCAGCCCTCTCTGGGGGTGACGACCGGGGTGAACGGGCGGGCCGCGACTTCCCCAAGTGTAGCCACGACGAGCCTAGCGTCATCGTCGAAGGACAGGTTAGGGTTTGGGCATCACTAGGGTGGGGGCGGGGGGCGGGGCGGGGACATAGTATTGAGGTTAGATGCTATCGACGGTTGCGTGCTTGTTAGGGTTGTATTTACGGTGCGTTGGGACGATACCTAAGCACATATGATGTCTCTACGCTGGAATTTACGACTACGCTTGGTGTATGTCGTCTTCGCGTTGAAACACGTCGTGGCATTTGTCGAATCAGCACACATGGTCACCACAACCGGGGTATACCATATGCACTCCACCCCCCTCTCTACCCATTCGCCACCGGTAGCTGTGCAGATCGTTTATCACCTAGTGGGGTATCTACCCCGCTCAGGGTGCCCGTGCGATATGGTCGAAATTCTGTGTGCACCGGCTCGGACGAGGTTAGTCTCGACTGCCATGTTACCGCGTGGACCATACATACTCAGGGGGGAGACCACGCTAAGAACTGCCCCCCACCCCCGCCCTGCCTATCGATATTGTACGACGAGTGGCAGGGAGTGGAAGCGGGCAAACGCTTCTATCGATGCGGTCAAGACGACAAGTGCATGTTTGTGCAGCGTGTGAGAGACCTTCAGCCGATGCCGTCGCCACTTCCTAGCAGCGACGAAGAAGACTGCGGCGAAGACGGCGTGGTGATGGATACCGGAGACGGTGAGCCTTTCAACTTGGACGACGACGATGCGGAGGTCCGCATGTCTCAGAACACACCCGAGAAGAGCCACCGTTCGGCCTCACCAGCCCATGTCGTGAAAGCCACCACGGCGAAGCAGGCGGAGAGGAAAGGGCGCGGTCGCAAGCCGAAGACTCCAGCCTTCAATTCAGAGTCTGCGTCCGACTTGCTTCGAAGCGGCAAGGACAGTGTGCAGGAAGTGGGCAAAAGCATCGTAGGTGGCCTGAGCCACATCGTGAAATCGGTCCAGCAAATCCAGGCTCGGGCAGGCGGGGGCAGTAGTGAGAGTGTAGCCGGAAGTGCTAGCGGGGGCGGAGGTGGTAGCGGGAGCGCGCCAAAACAGGAGCCAACCTTGAAAGAAAAAACCGAGGCGGCGATGACCAACCAGAACTTCTTGAAGCTCCAGATGGAGATGGCGCGGATGAACAGCGAGAGCGGGTTAGGTGTAGGCGTTTCCGAGGAAGAGTTCAAGGAAACCATGGCTAATTGCCGTGTTGATCCTGGTTGATGTCGTGTGGGATAGAAATACCCTCTGTCTCTCGTTTTGCAGTAGTATTGTTGTCTTGTTGTCCATAAGGTATAGCGCGCCGGAGCCTTTTTTTTTTAGGGGGTTTGTGTGGGGGGCAGGGGGGTGTGGGGGGAAGATATTTAGAGGTCGATAGATGGCGTTCCCGGTGAAATTTCGGGTGTGTGTGTGTGTTTTTTTTTCTAGGTTTTCAGCTTTCACGATAGCAAATCTTTTCAGCAGTGTTGCCCGCCCGTCTCCGTCTAGCGGGTACAAGATTTATGATGTTGTTTTTGACGAGTTAGCGTCGGATCGTTTTCGACTGGGGTAGTTATCTTCCTGCCGCAATTTGTAGCAAAGCCGTTGTCCGGCGGGGGGAGGGGAATTTGAGTGAGTCTTGATTTAAGTGCTTCGCCATGAGGTGTGTATCTAGCTGGTCCTGTGTCTCTGTCTCGAAAGTTGCATGGCTTCCGTGACGACACGGGTCGGCAGCTCGTTTGGAATGTTCAACGTAGCTGGTTCTTGCTGAACGCGCTCTCATTTATGTATTGTTCAAAAGGGGAAGGATAATGGTTAGAGGTGGGAGTTGTGTAGAACGGTACGCGTCAAAGGTCCATTCGGCCGTTTCTTTAATATACAAATGATGTTTGCCCTCGTTGTAAGCCTTATAGTTAGGTTATTCTGGTATGGGGTTAGGAACCAGGACGCGGTATTAGGGTTGTTGGGTATAGGCGGTGGGTTGTAGAAAGGGTTAGCTGGGTGATGTGCGGGAAGCATGAGCGGGATTGGTTTTAAGGAGGACCCGATTCGCAGGGTATCTGTCGATTGGCTTTTATCAGGATCGGTCAACCTTCGCATATGCCGTCAGCGGCAGGATACCTTCGCGTTGGGTATCTTGATTGTACTGGACCCCTTCCAGACAAGCGTGTAGACCCGTTTTATTTTCTGAGGCCCGAGATTTCATGTACTCGAAACGATACAGGATGCACACAGCAAGCGTTGCTTAGATAAAGGGGTACGATCGATTGGTGGGTAAGGGATGAGGGGTGGGGCGTTGATTTGAATTGGGTTGGATTGTTTGTCTTAGTTGGGCAAGCCGGTGATGCAGCTACATAGCTAACGACTGCTTCCGTGACGGCTAGGGTTAGATACACTATGATTACCGAACAAGAGCTAGGCCGCCTCTCTGGCTTGTTCGAGTGAAGGAATAATCTCCGGGGAAAGAATGCAATTGAATGCAGCACTGATCTCCACGCGCCGACACAGCGGGCTTGTATGGTGACGTACGTTACGATAGCATGTTTGATTGTAGTTGTCTTCACGTAAAAATAATTTCATGTCTCCCCTCAGTACCTTATATTATTCGTACTGGTCCGACTGGTGCGGACGACTTCTGTTACAACATGCTACGTATCAGAAAGGGAACACCTATCTATGTAGAAAGGGCCACGCAAACTCGGGCACAAAGTCGGACCCAGAACAAAGGGTTTCCTACTGTCTCTACGTTTGGATACCACCTTACACTACCCGAAACGCGGCAGTAAGGGGTAGGACTAATGCTAGATGAAAAGGCCTACAACATTGAACGTGTGGCCATTGGTGCTAATTAGCAACAGTTACACGATAGATCGCGGTGTATCCCGGCTCACAACAATCTACGGAAATTTCACGGCCGTCACCCGTTTGCCTTGGAACAAGCCCTATTCAGAGAAGGACGCTCCACTACGCTCGGAACAATGCTCGCTGGCGACCGTAAACCGTTCACGTGGAGGCATGTATCGCACCCCCCGCTATACATGTAAACCAATCTTTCGTTCGTTCGTTGAGGATGGCGTTGGCGACGTGTTATAGTGTACGCCGACGTACGGTAGCCTCCCCCAAGACGTCGAAATCCTCTACGAGACTCTACATACGAAGACCTAATCTGGTACACGTGTCACAGATTCATACCTGACGCGTTAGGAATAAAATATAGTGCCCACACGTCCATGCGGCTAACACACAGGTAGAACCATCCTCGACTAATAACGCGACTCTGAATTATAGGGTTCGCATATCAAAGTCTATGGCGCAAATCCAGATGGGGTTACTTAGTACAACGAGATACGTGGCCGCAGGTCGAGATGATCGCAAGATATTGTTCCGATACAGGGGAGGGTAGGGTTGCATCAAGGGTTAGGGAGCATGACGGCAGCTTCCTCCCCCCCTGAATCGTTAACTCCAGCACCCGGGGTGCGGTAGCTTGCCTCGGCCTGCAGGCGCGCGCGGTCCGCAGCGGAACCTTCCTCTCCCCATGTCTGTACCATGAAGTGGGTTGCGAGGTAGTCTGTCTCGCGTTGCCTTGCTGACATATCCGCCGCCGCCCCGGCACCGGAAGACCCTGCACCGTCTGCCGCTTGAGTACCCCGCGCAGGCCGCCGAGATGCCCTCGCCCTACGTGTTGGCATGTCGTCGTGGAAGATCTCGTCTTTGGCGGCCCCGTCCTCTGTGAGGATGAAGTTGTACAGGGTCACACATGCTTGGACGACCGCCGGCACAGCCGCAATGTCGAAGTACATGCGGTTCTTCAGGCACATGAACTTCCACTGCGTTGATTCAATATCGGACAAGGGTATTTGGGAGATATTGCGGTAAGGCGAGGGGCACCGCCTGGCGTTGGCGACACAAAAGTCTGGGGTTAAAATATCCGCCGGTAGCCTGCTGAGATGTATCCCGACGCTACACGACGGGTGCAAAGGATTTTCTAAGCTACACTCCGGTTGCAAATTCTGGTTTGGTACAAAGCGTACACGTGAAAACATTTTCACCTTCAGGCGGCCAAAGGCGTGTTCGACGACGAAGCGTGTCTGGGAGTGTACGTAGTTGAAGAACCTCTGGGCCCGTGAAGACGGTGAGACCCAAGGGATACGCAGCCAAGGGAGGTTCCCGAACGCCGAGTCTCCGAGAATACAGCGCTCACTACACACTTGGGTTCTCTGGGATTCAGGCTTGAGCTGCTCAACAGCGATGCGCTTGCTCTGTTTACACCAACGCCAAACCCCAGCGTCGCCAGCCGAACCGGGAGAACCGCAGTTTATCCAGCGGAACATGCCCGCGTTGTCGACGATAGCTAATAGGATGACGGAGTAAAAACCCTTGAAATTGTAGTAGGCACCCCTGTCACGTTCTGACGGTGACGGTATGGGGATATGACTGCCATCAATCGCGGCCATGGCATCCCTAGACAGACCAAAGTTCAGATTTGGGAGATGACCGAACAACACGGAGACAGCTTTGTGGGTCACTTGGGTGCGTTGTCATGAACCGGGTATGACTTCCAGCAAATTTTGGGACACATGTGAGGGACAGAATGTGGGGGAATATGGCGGATATCAAATCATTCTCTTACCTGTTTGTGTTTACTTTATTATCTCGTGCTGCGATAAGGAGTCTTGGCATGTAGCACGAGGGCTTCGTCGCGCCGGTCTGTTCATGTCAACAACAAGATTAGATAAATAATAATAATCAGAGGCGCAACGTCGCAAACCTAACTTTTCGAGGCCACAGGTCATTACCTGAAGCCTGTCCTTCTCTCGAAAGCGTCCGAGATGCTGTCTTGCTCGTTCCTGGTTGGCCACCGCAAGAACTTCGGAGTAAGAGTGGCGCAAACCCTTTTGATGAATTCTTTCGTACAGCTGGATACCCACCCATCAGATACCCCGAATAGCGCGGCCGTCGGACGTACACCCGCCCCGTGGCCAAGACGATATAGAACCATGGAGGTTCGTTCACAGGGGCAGAACGGAGGTCCACGGCCGCCGTCGGCTGGGCGAACGTCCGTCGTGCCATAAAGCACAGTGACGAGCTTGGCAAAGGTAGGTCTCCTGTCGTCGAGGATGATTCGGCCGCGTTGTTGATGGCTTAGGGTTTACCCATAATTAGCCCAGACGAACATTTATCGACGAAACGGCAGTTGTTTCAATACACCTTTTACGGATGCGCACCGCGCTTCGTCGGAAAGACGAACGGAAGAATGTTGCAACAGATGGACGCTCCGCTTACTTACACCCGAATCTTCAGATAACACACTACCAAATTAAGGCAGGTCCGAAGGGCTTTGCGTTGCTAAGAAGGTGACCTCCCGTGGCAACAGTAGGGTGAGGGTGGATACTAAATGGGGTAGTCCTAAGTGTTGTCAGAGGATGACATTTTTTGAAACTTTGTAAATAATATCCCTCTTACTATACTATTTTTTGGCATTCCGCCCAAAATACTTGGACGCACTTGGATGCACGGCTTGCGCAAATTCTCAGCACTGTGAGCGAGAAGCAGCCGCGGTCTATCACGCGACGTTTGGTGTGCATCACCACTCCCAAACAACCCTACGCCAATATGCGGTTTTATATGGGGTTACTTTCGCTTCTGGTGGTTCCGTGTCTACATTGAGATATGCAACGTTCGTTTTTGCGTGGGCTTACGGAAAAACTGAGCAAAACCTTCCTTCGGCACCTACTGCTGTTGTTGAACTAGCGAGGAAGCAGAGCACTTGCATGTACACGCGGGCCTCGATAGTAGGTCTTGATAAAGGACAAGAATTATTCCGGTTGGTTGTGTGTACTCGGTAGGATATAAATCTCCGAGATCTCCGTGGGGGTACGCAGGTGATATATATATCTGGGTTTAAAATATACAGACTTGGTGCATCAGGCTTTGCCTCTTCTTTCTCACCTCTGTTACTCTCTCCAATAATCAAGGAACTGAGACCTTTGTGCAGAAACGCCCTCGACAAGATCCGGCGAGCGTTATAACGTAGTTCACGCGCCGACACCCAAGAGACCGGTCTCCTGTAGGATGATGAACTAATGGCGCAACGTACCAATCTAGTCTACCCGAACCAAAACAAGAAACCAAATTGATCAATGCTACAAGTTGTAGCAGATATATATTCCATACATTTATTAGAGTAGCAGGAAAATCCGTTCTTGCTGAGCGTTTGTACTCGGATAGATTTGTACTTTATCCGA